AAAAAAAAAAGGTGTTCGCTCAGCAGTGGGAACAGAACAGAAGATGCCTGGGAATGTTGCTACCTCATGATTTCCCAAGCTAAAACCTCTCTCCTGCTCTGATCAGGAGTGGTAGACAAGAAAATTAATAAGGAGAAAAATCTCTAGGCTCCATGCCAAATTTTTAAATAGAAGCCCCTCTCCCCTTCCCCCCTACAAGAAAACATGAGATAATTGGCACTGGGTACTGAGTGTTTGGGGCGGGGGAGGAATATAATAAAATAGCCATAACTAATTTTTGCTTGAGTGTTATTGTGTGCCAAATACCTCAGAGTAGTTCACAAGCAGTAGGGCTATGAGGTAGGGGCCATGTTTTCCTGGTTTCATGGAGCTTAATTTGCCCAATGTCATAGCTGGTAAGTGGCAGAACTGGACGGGTTTCTGATTCCAAAACTATTAACCACTAAAAACAGCACCTCTCCAAGAGTAATCAGTGGGCAACCTGAATCAAATCGCCTCAGGGGCCCACTTAAATGCACGTTTCCGGGTCCACTCAGGCCCTCCAAGTCAGACTCTGGGGGTGAGGCCCAGAAACCTGGATTTTGTAAAAAAAAAATCTCCCGGACAAATCTTTTGTGCACAAGGTGGTGAATCTCACGACATCACACCAGGAAGCTGAATGAGCACTGGGTCATTAGGGACTTTGGATGCAAAGTAGTGAATCAGGTTGCTCACTGTTTTGCATACGTGACAGCAAAAGAAAATTAGTTTTCCCTTAAAGCCCCAGGGTCATCAGACCCACGGCAGGCCCTGGGAAAAGGCCAGTGAAATTATGTAACGATTTTAGCCTTACTATACTGCCCTGCCAGAGGGGAATCTAAGACCTCAGGTGTGCAGGAGAGGGAGACAGGGGAGGGCTGATGAGATGCAGGCTGGGCTGGGGGTTCCCTGACAGAGACCTAGAGAAGGGAGCCCTTACCTGGTGACTGCGCTCTCTCCCGTGCAGGGTTTCCTTCACATGAATGAAATGAGGCAAGAACATTTCAGAGAGGAAAAATACCTTGTGTTCACTTCGAAAGCTTTGTGGCTTATGAGAGGTCCTAGTTACTCCCAAACTGGCAGGACTCTGGGGAAATGAGTACAGCAACCTAACCCTGGAAATGCAGGAAAGGAGAAGAGTAGGAGGTTGGGGGGCGGGGGGCCAGAGAAACAGAAGGAGAGAAGGGAAGGAGAGGAGGTGTCTGCCTTCTCAATGTCCAGTAACATCACAGGGCTAAAGTAGGAACATTGTTTTGTAAACTTCAGAATTGTCAACATATTTTAGAAGCATCTACTCTGCTTTGGTTGCCCCATAATTGATTGATGGTCAGCAATGGCACTAACGATTTTCTTAATTTGACAATTATTTAAACACAAAGGCTTAGGAGTACAGGGTACATTGAGAATGCACATACATAAGGTATACTTATGAGCTGTTATGCTGATCCTTCATAATAGAACATGAGCATGGAAAGGGTTGGAATTAAAGAAGCCAAGGAAAAGAATTAGGAGTCCTCACACTTCTGCATTTGAATTTCCATTTCTAGCAAGAGTTGTGGGTCTGCATTTTACAGGACAGTGGCTTTCAAATCAGAGGACACCCGTGATGCTTCAGAATCCTTCAGATGATCTACAGAAAATACTGTTCTGTGCCTGCTTGCACTCTCCACCTGTGTTTTTTCAGTGCTAAACAGCATCACATTGTATTGATGAGTCCAGGCTGTTGGACTGGAGCTAACATTGAAGACCATGGCTGAAGTTTGAATAGATAGAAAACCTTGGTGGATGCTGGGATACAACATTGATGTAAGTTCTTGCTGATGAAGATAGGAAAGAAGAGTCCTCCACAAATTAGAACTTAAGGATCAATATTGTAGACATTTTGAATTTCTCTCCAGATAGTTATAGGTTTTTTAAGCCTTACAAAATACATTCCCAGTGTGCAGCAGTCTGGCTGGTCCAAAGATGAAATGCTTGATGAAAAGATTTCACTTCCTATCATAGAAAGCTAAAAGAGCCAAAAGAGTGCTTTTCGGTAAACAATGACTGAAGCCCATAGATGACACTAGTCCCTCCTTATCCATAGTTTTGCTTTCTATGGTTTCAGTTACCCGTGGTCAACTGCAGTCTCAAAGCAGATGATCCTCATATAGATGACTATATGTTAGAAGATCATTATTTGCCTAACACTGGGTCGCAGTGCCTACCTCATTCACCTCACTTCATGTCATTATGTAGGCATTTTATTATCTCACGTGATCACAAGAAGGGTGAGTATAAAGTAAGATATTTTGAGAGAGAGAGAGACCACATTCACATAACTTTTACTATCATATATTGTTATAGCGGTTTTATTTCATTTTTAGTTATTGCTGTTTCTCTCTTATTGTGCCTAATTTATAAATTAAACTTTATCATGGGTGTGTATGTATAGGAGAAAACATGGTATGTATATGGGTTTTGTGCTGTCCATGATTTCGGGCATCCACTGCGGGTCTTGGAACCTATCTTCCACAGATAAAGATGACTACTGTATAACAGAGCCTTGACGGAGCAAAATGGCAGAGTCCTCAGCATATGCACACATCCATGTCTAGAGTAATTATTCTATGATAGGTAATGGGGTTTTAGTTTGTTATGCCAGTATAGGAATGCCCATGTAGGTGACATCATGTTTTCTGGAGATTGAGCCTGCATTTTTATTTCCCTTTGGCTCATGCTATGTAACCAAAAGTACATAAGAATCCAGAGAGAGACACTTAAAGTTCATCATTTTATACTTTGCTGCAGTTACTAACACAAATCTCAATGGCTTACCATGACAAAGATTATTCCCTGTTCACGCTGATTTGGCAATAGGTGGACCTCAGCTCTGCCCCTACTGTCTTCATTTTGATTCCCAAACTGAAGGAGCCAATCCTACTTGGGACAGCCTCTTCTCAAGCAGAGGAAAAAGGGCAAAATGGCCAAAGCATTGTAACAGCTCTTAAAACTTCTACTTGGCCATGCAGTATATCACTTCCACTCACATTCCTTGACCAAAGCAGGTCCATGGCTAAGCCCCATGTCCCAGTAGGACAGGGAAGTGTGGTCCAACCACTGGGAGACATGAAAGTCACCTGACGGTGGGTGGAGGTTATCGAATCCTCCTACTGGTAAGTGAGGAAATAACTGGGGACTAAATGTACTCTGTCTGCCACAAGAATAATAGCCACTAGCATTTCTTACTTAAGGAAATAGTGCCCATGCTGTAATTAACTTTGTCGCCTCAGCAACAGATGGTCACAAAAAACAAGATTTTTAAGAGGTTTTACCATTGCCCCATCACCAGCACATGGTCTAGACACCGTTCTACCTCATCTCTTTGGGTCCACTGCTTCACTCACCATGCAGGGAAAGTGTTCCACTCCTCACAGCCAGGAACTTGACACCATATGGAAAGAAAGGGGTAGAGTGAGAACTCCCGTAGAGTTTGATCTCGGCTTTGCCTTGGAAGGGCTTGTCCTTGGATCCAATCCGGAGCTCCCCACCATCAGAAATGAGGATGGAGTGTACCCTGAGCTCAATGGGTCCTGGATCCATGAAAATCAGCTTGCCTCCTAATGGCCAAAGAGAAGATTATCAGTCCCTGGGAGGATAAGGTTCACCACCTTTTGACAATTCCAATGTCTGATGAAATCCTCTTTATTTATATACATTTGCTGGAATTTAGACTTATTTTGTCTTACTCTCTCTTCTAGAAGCACAATAGAATATGGATTGGACCCCCATGGGTAGACGCACTATACCACTAAGCCAGTTGAGGCTGGCTGTCACTATTCACCACATCTCTATGTTATTTTTCATGGCAATATCCTAAATGCCCAGCAATTTAGGACTGGTCAAATAAGGGATGAGAAAGTCACCATTTTGGCCATCAATCAACAGATAAAAGCAGCCTATAAAATTAAGTTTAGAAACAAGTGAATAAGAAATAGGAATAGAAGAAAATATGGGAAAATTATACAAATTATGACACTAGGGACTGTAATTAGGGCTGCCGTCATGACGTATGCAGCATTTTACCTGGCCAACATCCATTTTACTTCAGTTTTGATAATAGACACTAATTTCCTTAAGAAATTGCTCTGCTCCACTCAACAGAGTTGAGTGGGATGGTCAATCAGAGTAGCCTGTCCTACTGTAGTCTAAGCCATGTACCCATGCTTCAAATGAAAATCTGGAGCTCAATGGAAGAGAAGACAAGAAATGTTTAGATTTTAGTAATTCCACTGGCGGCATCTAAATGAGCCTGAGAAGAGGTTTCTATTTCTGAGGCCCCCACCTGCTAAGCCCCTTCAAAATGCCCTGACAGCTATCATTTCTACACCTAATTTTCCAGACTTTCTATCAGTTCTTGTAAATGACCCAATATATTCTCCCTAAATTTCCTATTGTAAAAGAAAGTTGGTTTCCATTGTTAGCAATCAAATAAACTTAACTGATACAGATATGTTTTCTTCAATAACCAAATTTTCTGTGATGTAGGAGTATTATTTTACAATAAAATTAAATTGTGAGAGTTAAATACTTAAGAAATTAAAACATGCTTTCATCTTTATAATACTTTTCTTTAAAAGAACTTAGAATATTTGTATTTCATATAGAATTTTCCCTGTAATGCCAAAATAATTAAAGCATCCCATCTAAATAACCACTTTAACCTGAATGAGTTACTAAATCTATCTCCCTCCTGCATATGGTTTGCAAAAGTACCGGACAAGACTCTTCTATCCTGTAACAAGGTGGTAAGAGGTTTGATTTCATACTGGAAACATCAGGAGCCCTCTTTTCCACATCCTACAACAGCTTGCCACCTAACTCAGAATGAAAGTCAAAGTCCTGATACTGGGCTGCAAAAGGCCCTTCATGATTTACCACCCATCTCCAGTTCCCCTGCATCATCATCTACAACTCACCCCTTCACTCACCTGCCCTGAACACACTGGCCTGCTTGTCAGTTCTCAGCAGGACTTACTTGTTTTCTGACCTGCTGTATTCTTCTGTCAGGTATCCCTGTGACTCACTCCCTCTTGTTTCAAATCAAATGTTAACTCCTCACTGAGGCCTTCCTCTCCAGGCTATACAAATAGCATGCCCTCACTCCTTACTCAAATGCATTTTCTTTTATAACACTTACCATCAAGAACATTATATATTTACGTGTTTAGTGTCTGCCCTCCCCCCCTACTAGAATGCATGCTTCATGAGGGCACTAATCTGTTTTGTTTACCTCTGTATTTCATTGTCTAGAACAGTGACAAATAGGTAGGTGGCACTCAATATATATAATTGTAGAGCAAACTAATAAATGGTTATATCATTTTAGAGAATCTGGATTAAGTATCTGAATTTCGTTTATGGATACACAGAAAATGGCTCAAAAAGCAGATTCTTCTGGGGGCACCTGGATGATTCAGTCCATTAAGGGTCAGACTTCAGCTCAGGTCATGATCTCATTGCTCAAGGGTTCAAGCCCCACGTCAGGCTCTGTGCTGACAGGCCAGAGACTGCTTCAGATTCTGTGTCTCCCTCTCTCTCTGCCCCTTCCCCCTATTCACACTGTCTCAAAAAAAAAAAAAAAAAACATTAAAAAAATTTTTTTACAAAACAATTTCTCTTGTAGAAAGGAGAATCTCAGTGAGTGAGCAGCAGTGAAGACCAAAACTCTTCAGTCGCTAAATTTAGTCCTAAATCCAATGTGCCAAGTTATTTAGTTGTATTGTTGTTTTCCAGAAATCACAACTAGAAGTATTTACTCAAACATGTACTGGAGGGATGAGAGGGAGAGCAGAAAAAGGCTAAGATGCCCTTAGTCATTTTTGTTTACTTCCATCCTTGCACAGAGATAGTGATCAGTTAACATTTGACCCAATATTCAAACGTGGAAGCCATCTCAACCCTGACCTTCTGCTCTAACATTGCTCTTCCATTTTCCTCAGTTCTCTTCATTGAACCTTCTAGGCTTATATCCTGAAACCCAAACTACACACCATCAGCAACAGTCGTAGGATGTTTATGTGGATTTTACCTCTGAAAGTGTTCTCTCCTTTCAGTCACAATTTAGAACAACACACCCCATGTGGGTACCCAGTTTCTTCCTTGGTAAAATGTGCACAATAAGAGTTCGTCCCTCAGAGAATTATGATGGGATTTCTTTAAGTGAAGTTTACAGATCCCCAGTCTTGGGTCTGGCACCTATTAGACAACGCAGTGGTGTCAAGTGGCTCTTGTCAAACTCACTGTCTGCACTTGCCCCACTGGTGCCATCACTACTCATTTGCATACCTCCCCCATCACTCTAGCACTACTGGTCTCCCTCCTTCCAACATCTCACCATTGGCAGGTCCCCCTTTCCTTGTGAAGCATGGTACAGTGATACATGCTCAGGTAAGCTATTCAAGACGCAAGAAAATGTCCATTGATGTGCAGGCTTGATGCTACGGCAGCACCACATGACTTCCAGACTTCCAGAGGACCTACTGGCAATTTTGACTTTAATTTTCCCTTCCATTGTCATCACAATGACAAGAATAATCATCAAAAATGCAATAATAGTGGGGCGCCTAGGTGGCTCAGTCGGTTGAGCATCCGACTTCGGCTCAGGTCATGATCTCATGGTTCCTGGGTTTGAGGCCCGCGTTGGGCTCTGTGCTGACAGCTCAGAGCCTGGAGCCTGCTTTAGCTTCTGTGTCTCCCTCTCTCTCTGCCCCTAACCCACTCGCATTCTGTCTCTGTCTCTCTCAAAAATAAATAAACATTAAAAAAAATTTTTTTAAACAAATGCAGTAATAGTCATTAATCCTGCTGTGAACAAGAGGGAAGAAATGTGACCTCTTTACTAAAACTTTTCCATTCACAGTCACATGTCATTAATGTCCCAACTAATTATTTTCAACTGGTGGACCATGGATTTGCATGGTATGACTCCTCCATTATAAATAGTCAGGAAATCTGAACTGACCTTGATGAGCAAGTGGTGGAAACAGGGGGCAGACTCTGCCTATTAGCCTCTCAATGACCCTCAACAAGTCCCATAAAATTGCTAGGTCTTAGATTACCCAGTTTCCAAATCTGTCCTACTCAGTGCCTGGGGATGATCTGTTTTCTCATCATTCCCATGCAGGACAGACCATGCATTCACCGAGACTCTTTCCAGCTTTAAAACATTGGACATCTACATCTTCAAGAATGCATTTGGATGTGTCTTTGGCACTGATGGAGACAGAGAGCTCATGTATTCCTGATACCGCCTATGCTGCAGTGAACTTGGCATTTCACTTGGGAAGAGTATCAACATATATAGTCAGAAATTCAAATAATTCTACAGGGAAAACAATGGTGCTAACACTTATTAAGCCCCTACTGTATGTCAAAATCTTTAGATGTGTTGTCTGAAATGACCTTCAAAATAAGTCTGAAGTCAGTATCATGCATCATATTTCACAGTCCAGAGAGTGAGAGGTGGGAGAGGTGGTCTCTCTCAGCCCAGAATGAGCAGAGCAAGCCTTAGAACCCAGGACCACCTTCCAGAAGAGTTCATATTTAATCTACATCTGCAAACCCTCCCAGGTTGCTTTTTTATTAATTAGAATTATCACAGTTATATTTAAAGAAAAACATGTGTTAACCTAAGTGAAGTTTGCCTGTGGCTTGTTTATATATGTTTTATTTCCATTTTGTAAATGTAGATATACCTTGCCTCATGCAAAACAGGATTTGAGGCAGAATACAAGGATTAGTGGGTAAATGTATAAACCTGGGCTTTGTTCCTCATCCCATCAAGCAAAATATTAAACACACAAAAACAAATGGGTAGAAATTTAGAAACGTCTTTTACTGAGGGGAGCTAATAATGACGCTAATGAAGGGAGAAAATGAATGATTGGTGTTGGCAAGAGTACTAAAAACAGGACTAATTAATTAATATGATAACCATTACTCCCTGCTAAAAAGCCTTCCCTCCTTACTTATCAGTGGCAAGTATAAGGAAATCTAGGTAAATTAAGAAGAGAGTTTGATGAGGAATTCATCTCTTTTTAATTGAAATAATTAAAAGTGGTAACAAAAATGAAGGCTTCTCAGTGTGAAAGAATGTAAGGTTTATACCCAAGCTAGCTCTGTTCCAAGGCCCCAAGTGTTATCTCCTCACACTTTATTAGCTTAAAACAAATATCCAGTGAGCTGCTTTGGAGCGTAGTGACTTGAGATAGGAGGGCACAGGGAGGACTTTATTCCTCCACTTTATAGAGCTTGACCACATTTCTGAGCACTGAAATAAAGAGCAGGGCTGAAATCGGCCTGTGGCTGTGACCCTTAAGTTGCTTATTATGATTGTTCATGAAAGCTGAGTATGTCCCACAAGTGACCTTGGGTAATTTTATAAAAATCAATCAACCATCATTATTGTTACTTCCCCTCTAAAATAAATAAATGAACACAACTTTTTACATGTAATCACTCTTTTCCATTCAACATCCCTTTTATTTCTTTTAAAGGGAAGTCAAGGAGACTTTTAGCAGCTAGCTCATGTTTGCAAAGTACATCAAAACCTGCTTTT